TACCTGAAAGTCAAATTAAAACTATTCTTCAGTATGTTAATAAAAAAAGAAACAATTGTTAGTTATGTAAACTTTGTTTTTTTTTTAATTTATTTGTTTTATTATTTTAGACGTTCGAGTTCACAAATTTATAATGTAACAGTGTTTTTTCTATTCTTTATGAGTTTATATGCCATATTAGGTGTACAATTTTTTGGATCACTTACATTCCATTGTGTGAGAAATGGTACTGATTTAAAGTATGAGAAAATAAGATTTCTTTAATTGTTTTTATTTCTGTTTTCGTTTGTTTTGTTTAAGTAATGTGACACAGTCAGATTTAATGATACCTGATACATATTGTTCGCCAACAAAAGATGGTTTTCATTGTCCAGAAAATTTTACTTGTAAAAAAATTGAAATTCAACGAAATTTACGTGGTTATAATGGTTTTGATGAATTAGCAACTAGTTTTTTTTCAGTTTATGAATCAGCTAGTCAAGAAGGATGGGTATTTCTTATGTATCGAGCTATTGATAGTCTTCCATCATGGCGTGCATTTTTTTATTTTATTACATTAATTTTTTTTCTTGCATGGCTCGTCAAAGTAAGTTTTAAATAGTCTAGAAAATAAAAAAAAATTTTGCTTCTGGACAAAGATTTAAAGCTATTATCTATTAACATAGAATATGATGTTTTTTAGATTTAATATACGACAAAATTGTTTAGGAGTTGCTTCAAGAGTTATCATTAATTTTATTATTCAATTTTTCGTACAGTCATATCATAAATATATAACATTTTTTATAAGTTAGAAATAGGATGTACTATGAAGATTTTTCAAAAGACGAATTTTTTTAATTCTATACTTAACAAAGAATATTTTATTTTAGAATGTATTTATTGCCGTTATTATTGAAACATTTGCTGAAATTCGTGTTCAATTCCAACAAATGTGGGGTTCAAGAGGAGCAATATCAAACATTGAAGCAACAAAAGTAGATACAATCTTATTTTGAAACTCAAATTGAAACTTAATTTTTATATAGATACTGCAAAAATCTGATAATAGTACATTAAAATTAGTTAATATTGATGAAAATACTAAGAAAGGTGTAGTACCAGCTATTTTTTTTAAAATTGTACAAACTCCCGTGTTTACAACAATTGTCATGCTTGTTGTACTTGCTAATACAATCTTTACAGCGACTATTAAACATACACATAATGAAATAATTGATAAAAAAAATCGTGAATTTTATCATAAAATTGAGGTAGAAGTAAAATATCCTATTAAAAAAAAAAGTCATTTTCAACTACATTGATTTTAGACATTATTTACGATATTTTTTGATTTGGAAGTACTTTTTAAAATCGTTTCAATGGGCTTTAGAAATTATATTCGAAGATCAACATTGAAATTTGAATTTATTCTTGCTGTAGGAACAACTCTTCATTGTTTTCCATCATTTTATCGAAGTGGTTTTACATATTTTCAAGTTCTACGTGTCGCTCGTCTACTTAAATCAAGTCCTTTACTTGAAGATTTTCTTTATAAAGTAAAAAAAAAAAAAAAACAAAAGAAAGATGAAATTGTTTCACAAACAAAAGTTTTTATTCGTTTTATTAATTAAGATTTTTGGTCCGGGTAGAAAACTTAGTAGTTTAATTTTATTTACAATGTGTTTATTATTGATAACATCATCGATTAGTATGCAATTATTTTGTTTTATTAAAGGTCTTGAACAATTTGAAACATTTCCTCGTGTAAGTTTCTTTTTGTTTTTCTCAATGTTGTATTTGTTCAAAAAAAAAATAAAATAAAATACTTCTTAGGCATTTATGTCTATGTTTCGTATTGCTATGAATGATGGTTGGACAGAAGTGATGTATTCAGCAATGGACGAAGTTTATGAATTTGGAGTATTCTTTTTATGTCTCACAGCACTTTTCTTTATTTTTTTTCATTTATTAACTAATTCGGTAAGTTATTTTCGAAAGAATGAAATAATATTAAGCATGAGCATGAGTGAAAAAAAAAAACATTTTCTTTTTCTTTTTGTTTATGTTTGAAATGCATTTTGAATAATTTGATTAGCTTTAATTGTTGATTGATTCATACATATAGGCATTTATATCAATGTTTCAAGTTTTAACACAAAAACAATGGTTTGATGTTATGCATTATACAATGCAATATAGTACCGAAGATGTAGCTCAATTTGTTGCTATTTATTTTATTGTTTAATATCTTGCTATTAATTTGGTATGACGCAATAAAGAATATTTTGTTAGATTTTGTATTGTGCCTTGTTTGTCTTTCTGTTGTAAAGCTTCTGCTTATTTTAATGTGTTGTTATTTAAGATATAAGATGTACTTTTTTTTTCTGTTTTGTTTTTTAATTAGATTGTACTTTCACTTTTTGTTGCCGTCATTTTGGACAATCTTGAACTTGATGAAGATATTAAAATGATTAAACAGGTTTGATATTTGCATGTTGTTTTGTTTTGTTTCTTTTTTTTTTCGAAATAAAATTTAAGTTCTAGAATAGATTCTTTTTTTTAACATTTTACTATAGACGAAGTTAATAATTATTAATAGATCTTTAGACCATAGAAAGTAAGAAATTATAGTCCCTTCAATTAAAACTAGAACTTAAATTTTGATTTTCTTTTTCAAAAATTCTGTATATATTGTTAGTATAAACTGTAGCTGAGCTGTACTATACAATCATATATCAATCATCGACAGATACAATATCTATCAAATGGAGAATGAATAAAAAAATATAAACAATATTTGAAAACAAAATCAAAATTTAAGTTCTACTTTTAATTGAAGGGACTATAGTTAGAACATTTTCAAGTATATTATGATTAAGAACGAGTAATTCTGATAAGAGCTAAGTTTTTGACATAGATTAATAGCTTTGTAATAAATGCAGATATTGATGATGTGATACCGTTGACCTATAACGTTATTTCACATCTGGTGTAAATGCCAACAAAAATGAATGTGAAGGTTCGACAGATCATCAGAATATAGAATAGCGGGTGACGCACGATAACAGAACTGATAAAAAGAAAAGCAAAAAAAAATGTATACTCAAAGTATAGAAATCAATCAACATTTTCTAAGTAATGATTATATAATCTACAGAGAAATAATGCCTATTGAATATGAGGACTATAACGAATGGTGTAGATTAAATGAGATAAAATCATTTTCGTTTTTTTTTTGAGTCACTCAGGAGAAAACATATCTAGGTGTCAAATCGCTTTTGGATCGAGTATGTATTCAAAAGATAGATCTCAATGAGTTATTAAACATCCTATAATAGTTTGGTTTTCTAGGTTTCCTGAGCCGAGATAAACGCTTCTTATTGTTAACAGTATTATTGTACTATTATTACGTATCAGCCAGTCCATGTAAGCCACGACCAGACTTGTTCAATCAAGATCATCAGCTTTTGCTCAATTTAAGACATATTGTAGAGAGAATAGTTCTAAGTATTTTGACGCAAGCCGTTTGAAAAAGTATTATTCTGTTGCCGAGATATTGAAATTTTTCTGAGGATACTATCGTTCAAACAGTACATTTTTTGTGATTTTTTTGTGGCATTCATGTCTCAGCAAAAAACATCTGTTTATCTCGAAATTTCTAATGTGAAAATAACTCAAGTAGATGTACTTATCATAAAAGTATGAGTTCACAAGAGTGAACTATTAATGAGTTGATCATTAGTACCAGGGTACACAGAAAAGTCATCATTTTCGAGGTTTTATGCAAATCATGGTTTAGTGAGAAGTCTTATGAGCCATAGGAACCAGCTAAAGATCTAAAGTTTTGCCCAGAGTAGCTACTCAATGGGATCTTTCTATGATCTAAATTTGAACTCTCTAACATGATCCATGAATAAGATATGTATACGCATAAAACTTCGAAAATGATGATTTTTCTGTGAACCCTGGTACTAATGATCAACTCATTAATAGTTCACTCTTGTGAATTCATCCTTTTATGATGAGTACATCTACTTGAGTTGTGTTCACGGTAACAAGTTCAAGGTAAACAGATATTTCTTTGCTGAGACATGAATGTTAAAAAAAACTCACAATAAATGTACTTTTGTGACGATAGTGTCCTCAGAAAAATTTCAATATCTCGGGAACGAAACAATATTCTTCCAAACAACTTGCGTCAAAATTTTTAGAACTATTCTCTCTACCATATATCTTAAATTGAGCAAAATCTGATGATCTTGATTGAGCAAATCTGGTCGTGGCTTACATGGACTGGCTGATACGTAATAATAGTACAATAATATTGTTAACAATAAGAAGCATATATCTCGGGTCAGAAAACCTAAAAAACTAAACTATTGTTGGGTGTTTAATAACTCATTGAAATCTCTCTTTTGAATACATACTCGATCCAAAAGTGATTTGACACCTGAACATGTTTTCTTGTCAAATGTACTCTCAGAAAGCCATTCGATAGAGATTTGTTATTTTACTCTACAAAAATCTTGCGTTAGCTTTTCAATTTTTTATTGCTGCAGTAAAAATATTAATACATGCTTTATCATCCATTTACAACATTAAAAGAAAATGATAAAGAATTTTTTCTTTTTAAATATTTCCTGAACTTTCAAATATGACACAACATTTTGCATCTTGTGATATGTTTCCAAATTTTAGAAGAAATATTTGTAAGAAAAATGTTCTGACAAAAAACCCCTCTCTAATAGAATAAAATGATTGTTTTCTTTTTTTCAATCGATACAATCTAATTGGTTTTACTCCTCAACTTAGCAATCACACATGACTGTTTCTTATCAACGATAGCAATAGAAACCTTGAAAAGATCATGAAAACACAGAGCGTAAAATTCTCTATCGAATAGCTATAGAATGACTTTTTTTTTGAGAATGGTGAAATCATCTTTGAAAAGCCAAAAAAAAAAAAAGTTTATATAGAACATTTTTGTATCTAAAAGCTGTGATCTTTAATTATATGAGCTTGTAGATCAGTAGCTACCCTACAAAACGCAATAGTCGAAGACTTTCTCTTCCCACAAGGCACCTCAATTTTCGTTTTTCTTAAATGCTCACTTCTGAAAAATCGACATCTGTTTTATGTTTAAAGAAGCTCTTGAAAAAATGCTTGAGTCAAAGCAACAGTTTAGTTCAATATTACATTTTGTAGAGAACTGTCCGCTCTACAAAACGATTGACTACGACAATTTTCAGCATTTTCGAAAACAGACTTATAGGATAAACACAAACTTGTTATCTCATCATTAAAAATAATTTTTAGGTCTTTCAAAAAGTCATTCACTACTCTTGAACAAAAAATAGATACAATATTTTTAAGCCCGTATCCAAATTCTAGTCGCGACCTATAGTTTTTGAATTGTCTGAGATGCTTTCAAGCAGATTAATATGAACAAACATGTTCATCAGAAACTTCAGCTCATAAGTTTCATCCAAACTAAGTTTTTGGGTTTTTCAAAGATTATTTCACTACTGTCGAACAAAATTTTTAAACTAATATTTGGAAAGAACATCCTAATTCATAGCTTCTGACTCGTCGAAAATACTTTTGAGCAAGTCAAAAGTAAACAAACATCTTATCTAAAAATTCTCTGAAAATTTGATTGTAATTAGAACTTGTACCAAATGTAATTGTTATTATTTTTTGTTTAAGTTAAAAACACGTCAAGCTAGTGCAGAAATTCAACAAAAATTACCATGGCGTTTACGTGTATTTGAAAGTTTTCCTGATCATCCTCAAATGGTTGAATTATCACGCTTACCACATGATTTTATAATTCCAAAAGTTCGTGATAGTTTTATGCGTCAATTTCTTAATCAAGATGATATTTATTCATATTCTCCTGAACTTTCAATGGATTTATATAATAAAAAATATACAGTTAAAACATTACATACGCCCGAATATCGATCAACAGGTGATACTATGAAACGAACAGCTGTAAACAATATTATCAGGTTTATTTTAATTATTTTTTTCTCTTTTTCTTCTCTATAAATAGAAGAATATTATAGAAATGCAAGTAATCAACGTTTATTAAGTGGTGATGCTAGTCAAGTACAATTAGCAAGTACAGCTGATAATAAAGTATCAATATTTGTACAACAAAATAAGATTCGACTTGATCGAAAGTAAAGAAAAAAAACAACGAAAACAAATCATTTATTGATTTAAGTTTTTTATTGAACTTTTTTTTTTAATATTTCAATAGAAATTCCATGCGTCGTTCAGGTTATCGATCAAAACCAGTAAATGTTATACGTGAAAATGGAGATATTGGTGCGTTACAAGGTCGAAATCAAGATGATTATGATATCAAAGTATTTCAATATCGAAAACAACAAGCTGAATTAAAACGGTAAATAGGCCATTACTGGCAATACGGAACATACTTATCTTTCATTTGATTTTGATTCTTTACAAGAGTTATTTTTTCTCAATAAGTTCTTTTAACATCGACATATGTAAAAATATTGGCATTTTCAGCTGACTATTTATTAAAAGTAATTCGCGAATAACAGTATTGGATTCGAACAAAATCTTCCTTGTAAAAACTGGTTTTCTAGAGACCTTGTCAGCTTATGAAACAAAAATGTTTATTTTATCATTATCTAGAGATTCTGAAGAAGAGTTTTGACTGTTTGAAATTAAATTTTGAACTTCTCATTGAGTGATAAGAGATTTTTTTTTGTTTGTAAATTCGTACTCTATCACATCGCTTGCGAAAAGTAAACGAAGTTTTTGGAAAAATCTAGGCATGCTCAATAGAATGTTTTTGATAGAGACTTTCTAACTTCAGAAAGTGTCAATATAATATACTATTTAGTGCTGTCTCAATTCAGAGTTGCTTTAGCGCTAGAATTCATGAAATGAGAGTGTATGTTCTGTTTGTTGTACTATGTCGTTAACGCTAGTTTTTTTTTGTTTTTACTGATAAATCCTCTGAGAAAAAGTTTCGAGCACATTGATCTCTTTAGGATATCTAGAATACCTTAACATACATGTAATATATATAAAAATAGAGTTCTAGGAAAGTCCATTATCCTGAGGTACACATGTTTTATTTTTGCAATGCCATGTTATTAACAAATGATTTTGCCTATATATATATATATGAAAAGATATAATTTTGAGATAAATGAAATCTGTATTGTTTTGTTTAGAAATCAACAGGAAGAAGATCTTCGTGAAAATCATCCATCTTTTGATACACCTTTATTGATAATCGCACGTGAAAGTAATTTTCGAAAATTTTGTCAATTTCTTGTTGAAGCTCGTTATAATATTAAAGCTAAAGATTCTCTTGGACAAGAATTAAAAATTAGTCAATATAAACAAGGACAGTAAGTCTTCTTTTTTTTTCTCCTTGTTTCAAAACCTATCATGTATTTCATTCTAGTAAATTTCTTGGTTTAGTAACATATCTTGATTGGATTATGATACTTGTAACAATATTATCAACAGTTAGTATGTCATTTGAAACACCTGTTAATCGAGTTGTTGATCAACCTTTATTACAAGTACATAACTAATTTATATTTTTATTCTTTTTTTAATACTTATTGATTCATTCTCTTTGTTTTTTTTTTCGTAGATAGCCGAATATGCATTTGTTATTTTTATGAGTGTTGAATTAACATTAAAAATTTTTGCACATGGTTTAGTTTTTACACCAAAAGCATTAATTCGAGATATTGGTGGAGTTATCGATGTAGTAGTTTTTTTTATTGGTTTGATATTTCTTTGTTGGTCACCACGAAAAGTTCCAGCGAATAGTCTTGCTCAATTTCTTATGCTTCTTCGATCAATACGACCTTTACGAATTTTTATTTTGGTACCTGATATGAAAAAAGTTGTTTATGAAGTTTGTCGAGGATTTAAAGAAATTCTATTGGTAAGACTTGAAAAATTACTCTTTTTTTTAGCAATGTCTTCGTCCATAACAACTTGTGATAGGCTTAAGTACAGAAAATGAAAAGTATCTTTCATCAAGGGTATATCAGTACGCTGGAATTTCCAAACTGAAACTTGTGAAGGTACGAACTATGTAGATCAATGGTGTTTCACAATTTAATTTCGTTGGAATTGTATTAACAACTGTTTCGTTTCTTAAAGTTTAATTTTCTGACAGCGTTGAGTACGTAGTCGACATATTTTATAATATTAGTGACGAAGTAGAGTAGGATCAACAGTCTTTATGAAATCCCTATCGGAAAGTTAAGAACAAGTAGAAGAAGGATGGCAAATCTTTTTATGCTATTTAGATAGAATACAGTTAATCATTTTTATTTTCAACTCATTTTTTGAACTATATAAAGCTGATACAGTTCAGAAAAATTCACAGGTTGTGTCAAAAGATGTATATTTTTCAAGAAACACTCTAACATTTGTTTTTATTCAATTTTGACCATCGAAAGAAGAGTTTTCGATCTAATTTACTGAAACAATAGAATCATGGTGAAGCAGCACTGTTAACAAAGAAAAAAAAGAAGTTACATTATGGGTTCGCTCATTTTATTGAAAATATTGCCTGAATATGTGAACTTAGTTACTGAAGGCGAAGAAAACTTTGCGTAGATTTTAGTAATACTTCAAGTCATTCGCAATGTAATATTCAACATTTCGTCATAGAAAATTGAATGGTTTTCTAAGTCTACTTGCGTATGCAAATGTTGATGTTTGTATAAGAATTTCAATGCATTATATAAATCTATTAATTTGATGAAACAAGAAATAAATGTTTAAGCTTAAACAAGCCTTGTGGTCAAAGCCTGTCGGGTTGGTCTTGAACTCGATGGACCTTAGTCATGTCTTTACTACGTATGGTACCGAATGGTTTCATCGAATAATTGAGTAGATTTATCACAATAGAAATGAAGATATTTCTATTCATCGAATCTAATTTCAAACTTTTTACAACAAAATTTATATGACTGATTTCACTCATCATATCAAGATAAATAAATCGTAAAGTAATAAAATAGAAATAGAAACAAAATCAACTTATATAATATTAGAATTTCTTTTTCAAATTGTACATTTTGTTATTTCTAGGTATCAATTTTACTCGTTGTATTGATGTTTATGTTTGCTATTTATGGTGTTCAAATTATTGGTGGACGATTAGCTCGTTGTAATGATAAAGTTTTTTTTGATGATCAAGTATGTTAAATCAAAATATTTTCATAAATGAAATTAAAATAATAATTTCTAGAAATCATGTCATGGAACATTTTGGAGAAAACTTTCTGTATCAAAAATGAATGTTAGTGGTGATGATCCAGTTATGCTAGTACCTCGTGTATGGTATGTTATTGAATTTTATTTGTTTTTTTTTTTTTGAAAACAAAATTATTTTGTAGGGCTAATCCACATAATTTTAATTTTGATTATATTGGTAGTGCTATGTTAGCTCTTTTTGAAGTTCTATCACTTGAAGGATGGCTTGATATACGTGATATTATTATGGAACGTATGGGTCCAGTAAGTATCGTTATTTTTTTTTTGTTGTTGTTTTTTTTATAGAAAAAATTTCTTAGGAACATGTTATATTTGTTCATATATTTGTATTTATTGGTACATTAATTGGTTTAACTCTATTTGTTGGTGTCGTTATTGCAAATTATTCAGAAAATAAGGTAATATTTTTGTTTCTGAATAATTAATAAATTTTCTTTCTTGAATCATATATATATTTTTGTTTTAAGGGAACGGCTTTATTAACAGTTGATCAACGTCGTTGGATGGATTTAAAAGGTCGTATAAAACTTGCTCAACCATTACGTGGACCACCTCGACCAGAAAATAGCAAATTTCGTTCATATGTATTTGATATAACACAAAATCGATTATTTAAAAAATCTTCTGCTATACTTGTTCTACTTAATTGTGCATTACTTTATAGACCATGGAAAGCTAATGAACCAATAACACAAATATCAGCGTTAATATCATCTTTATTTACATTTTTATTTCTTGTTGAAGCTGTTATGAAATGTATTGCACTTGGTTTTGTTGGTTATTGGCAATCACGTAGTAATCGTTTTGATTTATTAGTTACTATACTTGGTATTGGTTGGATTGTATTAAATTTTATTTCTATTAGTAAGATTGAACTGGTAAGAAAAACCAATAACCAAAAATTATTTTCATATAAAGAAAAAGAAATTTTTTTTGTGATTATTCTAGCAAGAATTTAGTAATACATTTGGATTTACTGTCATTATACTTCGGTTTTTTACTATTGCTGGAAAACATGTAAGTAAATAACAAAGTTATGATTTTAGTAGTTAGTAATTGAATTATTAGTATTTAATGCAAGAAGGAAATAGCCGAATTCAGAATTTCTAAGGACTCCTAGTAAATTTATCCCATTCGTTTCTGATTATTGATATATATATATCGATCGCTCAGTAGTTGTATTGAATTATATTATTTCTCCTGCAAGACTTGTAATTGAGTTGAGTTCTTCATTTATTTATGAATAAATCCAGATTGATTTATTCTATTAGAATTCGACAGATACAATTGTATCATTGAGTTTCATTTAATAAAGACTTAGATTCTATAAAGTTTTGCTCTTTTTCTCTTGATTTAATTTTAAAATGGTCGGTTTATTATATATACAAAAAAAAAAAATTATATCAGTGAGAAATGCGAATTTAATCAGAAAAAAAAATTCAGACTGGCTCAGTGCAAAGAATAGAAATTATTAGCAGAATTTTTTGTTTATCCAGATAAAATAGGGTATAACTATGGGTACAAATGAACTTTCATTTCATTCATACCTATACTCTACGATGCTTGACTTTATTAGATTTGTAATAAATTTTTCTCATATTTTTTGCACTAACAACATTACCAAATGTAGCTTTGGCAAGGCAACGTTTTGATTTCTTATTTTCTTGGTAACGTCTTTTGTTTCTATTTATATCATTATTTTCTTGGACAAACATTACTTTTATATTGTACAACTTGTACCACATGCAAACTTTTTTACTCGTGGACTCTAAGCTGAAGTCAGACATAAAGAGTACTTATATAGCATGTGCACTAAGTGCATGATACAAGTAAATAAAGAAAAGTGAATTACACTATAATGTATTTTTCTTTTTATGTTTACCTTTTCGTATAATCGAATGTTAGTAAATTTTATGTATTGAAATTGGCCATTTCATCTGTTTTACTGACCAAATCTTTTGTCTCCCGTCTCGCAAAAAGAAACGCAACACTTTTTTATTACAATTATTTTTCTTTTTATTTTCTCAGGCAACACTTAAAATGCTTATGTTAACTATTATTGTATCATTCTTTAAATCATTTTTTATTATTCTTGGTATGTTTTTACTTATGTTAGTATATGCTTTTGCTGGTGTTATACTTTTTGGTTGTGTTAAATTTGGTTCTGAACTTGGACGACATGTTAATTTTAAAACAGTATCTAATGCAATTGTTCTATTAATGAGAATTGTTACTGGTGAAGATTGGAATAAAATAATGCATGATTGTATGGTTGTACCACCACGATGTACACGTGGTGATTCCTATTGGGAAAGTGATTGTGGAAATCCAACAGCATCTATACTTTATTTTTGTTCGTTTTATATTATAATTACTTATATTGTATTAAATCTTCTTGTAGCTATTATTATGGAAAATTTTTCATTATTCTATTCAAATGAAGAAGATGCATTACTTAGTTATACGGATATTCGTCATTTTCAAACAGTTTGGAATATGATTGATATAGAACGTAAAGGTATTATACCAGTTCGACGTGTAAAATTTTTATTAAGATTACTTCGAGTAAATATAAATTAAATATTTAATTTAATAAGATAAATTTTTCAGAAAAAATGTATTTCATAGGGAAGATTAGAAGTGGATGCCGAAAAACTCTATAAATATATGTGTTATGAAATTGAAAAATTAAATAATGGTAATGATGTAACATTTCATGATGTACTTAAGTAAGTATAAAATTAATTTTTGTATGTTGTGGATTTTTATGCAACACGATCTATGAACTACAGAATGTTCCAAAAGTTTACTACAAAATACAATTTAAATAATTCTTGTGTAGTTCAATTAAATTACATGTTTCTTTTACGATTTGATTCCATACTCACCAAAGTTTTATACAACATATTTCATATAAAATGACTCTACCTGCGAATATTGGAATGAAAATTGTTCTGTTATTGAAGGTTGTGAAACAAAAGATGTGCATAAATTGGACAAAGAAATATCAAATAAACATGATATTAAAGAATTCTCTTGATGACGCCTTAGAGTAACAACACAATAAAGCATTGTTGAAGTTCATGTTGATAGCGAAAATGTATAAATATCAAATATTGCACCTGATTGCAAAATTTTTTTAATAGGATATTGAATCCTGCCCGAGCTGAGTAAATAATCCAACAAAGTGAGATTTCTTGCGATTTTAACAATAAAGTATATCAATGTCAGAGTTACATTTTTTCTATCATGACGAATTCAGAGAGAAGGCCTTTATTTCATGAACTCTATGTTCATGTCGCTTAGTATGATTCGAATTTTTTCTATACGAATATATACAAAACAATGTTTACTAAAGATAATATTGAAAAAAATAATAAGAATCAGTAGCAAAAATAAAACGATTTCATAGAAAATTCTATGAAAGGCTATTTTTTCAAATATTTGACAATAACGAATTTACGTGTTTTAATTCAGTGCATAGACCGAGAAATGTTTTGACTCTAGGATCGGCTCAATATTTTTCCTAAGATCCTCATCTGAAAGTTAAAAATGACAAAAGAAATATTCTTGAATGCCACTAAAATAGAATACAATTAGTGTCTCTGTTACCGAACTCACATTTTGCAACGTGTAGCAGTGGTGCAG